GGAATTTGACAAAATACAACATCCTTTCATGATAAAAACTCGCAGCAAATTTGGTATAGAGGGAACATACCTCAACACAGAAAAGACCATTTATGATAAGCCCACAGCTACCATCATACTCAAAGGTAAAAGGCTAAAACATTTTCCTCTATAGAAGTCCTAGCCAGGATAATCAGGCAAGAAAAAGAAATAAAAGGCATTCAAATCAGAAAAAAAAAAAAGAGTGAAATTGTCTTTGTTTGCAGATGATATGACCTTAAATAGAAAATTCTAAAGACTTCACTAAGAAATTGTTAGGATTAATCAATGAATTCAGTAGTTTCAGGATATAAAATCAACACACAGAAAACAGTTGCAGTTCTATATACTAACAATAAAATATCTGAAAAAGAAAACAATCACACTCACAACAGCACCAAAAACAATAAAATATTGAGCAGTACATTAAACCAATTAAGTTAAAGATCTGTATACCTGAAAAAATAAGATTTTGAAGAAAGAAAATGAAGAAGATACAAATAAATGGGAAAATACGGATGTTCATGAATTGAAAGAATTAAAACTACTAAAAATCTGTTCTACCCAAAGCCATCTATAGATTCAATGCAATCTCCACAAGAATTTCAACGCAGGGGTGCCTGGCTGCTCAATCAGTGGAGTGTGCAAACCTTGATCTTGGGCTTATGAGTTTGAGCCCCATAACGGGTATAGAGATTACTTAAAAAAATAAAATTAAAAATAAATTTCAATGTGGTTTTTCACAGAAATAGAAAAAATAATCCTAAAATTTGTATGGAACTACAAAGACCTCAAATAGCCAAAGCAATCCTGAGAAAGAACAACAAAGCCGAAGGCATCACACTTCCTGATTTCAAGCTATACTGGAAGTCTATAAATCAAAACAGTATGGTACTGGCACAAAAACAGACACATAGACCAAGGAAATAGAGAACTCAGAAATAAACTCTCATGTATATGGTTAACTACTATTTGACAAGGGAACCAAGAATACTCAATGGGGAAAGGATTAAATAAATGGTGCTGGGAAAACTGGATAATCGCATGCAGAAGAATGAAACTGTACCCTATCTTACAACACTCTTAAAAATTAACTCAAAATGGATTAAAGACTTAAATATAAGTTCTGAAACTGTAAAACCCCTAAAAGAAAGGATTGACACTGGTCATGGCAATGATTTTTTAGATATGATACCAGAAACACAAGCAACAAAAGCAATTACATGGGACTACACCCAACTAAAAAGCTTCTCCATAGCACAAGAAATAATCAACAAAATTAAAAGGCAACCTACAGCAGGGAGAAAACATTTGCAAACCATATATCTAATAGTGAATTAGTATCCAAAATATATAAGGAACTCATACAACTCAATAACAACAACAACAAAGTTTAAAAATGGCCAGCATGGGGTGCCAGGGTGGCAGAGTCAGTTAGGCTTCTGACTCTTGGTTTCAGTTCAGGTTGTGATCTCAGGCTTGTGGGACTGAGCCCCATGTCGGGATCCACGCTCAGCCCAGAGTCTGCTTATGACTCTGTCTCCCTCTACCCTTCTCCCCACCCACACTCATGCGCTTGCTAATAAATAAATAAATCTCTAAAAATGTCCAGCAGACCTGCATAGACATTTTTACAAAGAAGATGTACAAATGGCCAAAATGAAAAGATGGCAAACATCAGTAATCATCAGAAAATTCAAATCAAAACTGCAATGACATCATCCCACAACTATAAAATGGTTATCATCAAAAAGATAAGACATAACAAGGTGAGAATATGAAGAAAAAGGAACCTGTGTTCACTACTGGTGGGAATGAAAATTGGTACCACCAATGTGAAAAATAGTATGGAGGTTCTACAAAAAACAAAAAAATAGAACTACCATCAGCAATCTCACTTCTGAGTATACATCCAAAGGAAATGAAAAAAGGATATCAAGGAGATATCTGTGTTCCCATGTTCACTGCATCGTTAATCACAATAGTCAAGATATAGAAACAATCCAAGTGTCCATCTATGGATAAATGGATAAAGTATATATAATATATAATGATGGAATATTATTCAGCCATGAGAAAAAAGGAAATCCTGCAATTTGCAACAACATGGATGGACATTGAAGGTATTATGCTAAGTGAAATAAGTCAGACAAAGACAAATACTTTACGGTAACACATGTGAAATCTAAAAAAAAATGAATTCATAGAAACAAAGATGTTGATCAAAGGGTACAGATTTCTAGTTAGATTAATCATTTCTAAGGATCCAATGTGAATATACTTAACAATAGTGTATTATACACTTGAAAGTTGTTAAGAGAGTAAATCTTAAATGTTCCCAACACAGGAAAGTAATGGTAATTATGTGACATGATGGAGATAGTAACTAATGCTATGGTGGTAATTATATAAAAATATATGTGTATCCGATCAACACATTGTACATTTTAAATTTACATTGTTATATGTCAGTTATATCTCAATAAAGCTGGAAGAAAAAAGACTAGTATACATACATCAACTGCTAAAGATACATCAGTAGACTACAAAAGAGGAATTATAAACAGAAAACTTTCAAATTGGTATTACATAGTCATCAGATGAGAAGAGGGTGGGATAATTTTGAAAAATGTAAAACAATGACTACACTAAAGTAGAGTTAGCAATACAGAGGATTCAGAGCAGTGTTTTTAATAGAATGAGCTATTTCTATCCTGTTCCTTCAGGCAGTAGAGTGCAGTGATAGAGGATCTGCAATCAGACAAACCTCAGTTGAATCCTGGCTTCACTCTGTAACCTTGACCAAATTACTTACTATCTCTATGGCTCAGTTTCCTCACTGTATAATAGAGACAACAAATAATGGCACCTACCTTGTTGGTTGAAGGATTAAATGAGATAATGCACATCAATGTTTGGTGCAATAAATGTTAGCTATTGTTACCTAATGAAAATCTTTTCTGTAGTTTCAGGCAAAATACTGGAAGACTTGGTGAGCATAAAAACATAGATATATAGGGGCGCCTGGGTGGCTCAGTCGTTAAGCGTCTGCCTTCAGCTCAGGTCATGATCCCGGGGTCCTGAGATCGAGCCCCGCATCAGGCTCCCCGCTCTGCAGGAAGCCTGCTTCTCCCTCTCCCACTCCCCCTGCTTGTGTTCCCTCTCTCACTGGCTCTCTCTCTGTCAAATACATAAATAAAATCTTAAAAAAAAATAGATATATACTAAAGATAACATAATGTACAGCCCATTCAAGTCAATGTAGATTTCATTATGATAGGAATATAAATTACTATAATCATATTAATATTTGTTATTAATATTTTTATTATTTAATTTCATTCATCTCAAACTATATTTCCTTAATAAATAAAATTTGGTCACTGGGTCAAATATTAGTGGAAAAATACGGTTGATCCATTAAGAGTTAGTTCAGCAGTTCTTGAAATCTTTCCCTTACTGTGTCTAATTCAGAACCTTAAAAATGGTAGCTGCTAAAATGCCTTGCCTACGGTAGGTGCTCAATAAAGCTGAACTGAATTGGTTTTCTGGTAGCCCACCTGAAAAGTGCTGTTTGAAATTTCTTTTACAAGTGACAAAGCACTTTATTCTACACCTTAAGACAAGGTCCAATAAATAGCATGATGGTTAAATTCATTGGTTTTGGAGACATAAAGACCTACATATGAATCCTGACTCTGTACAACATGACCCATGGCAAGTGAGTGTTTCTAAGCTTCTTTCTTTATGAAATTAGGATAATAAGAAAAAGAATGTATATGGCACAGTGCCTGCCATATGGAAAACATTCATTTAACAAGTGATTCATACCAACATTTAGATAAATGAGCTTGAGAAAGATCAGTGCACCTAGACTTGTAGAAAATGTTTCAAATTTTGGTGTTAAAGCCTACACACATAGTTTTCTCTCACAAATGAGAAAACACCTCAATATCAGCCCTAAAGACTCCATAGCAACTTACACATATTTTCAACCATATGGATCTTTTCTTCTGTTATAAACTATATTTAGCATATATAAAACTTTCATGTTGAAAACACTTTACAAGTAAGCAGGAATTCTTTTAGAGAATATAAAAATTTTTAGAAAATAAGTATACCCATGAAATGCATGTAAAATTTATGTAACAATTAAAATGAAAATCTATTTGCTTTGAGGAAAACTGTAATGTTCCTAAATTAACTGACTTTGTATTCTGCCATAACCTAAACTTGGCTGATGTATGTCTGTTCTGTGATGTGATATAGCTTCCAGAGGAAAATAAAAAATATAAGAGAAAATAATAAACTATTTGAAAATTCATATATCACAGTATTTTGATATTCTGGCATTTTATTACGAAAGGTATGTAAAACTATAGTGAGCTATGGAAATATTTATAAAGTGATCATAAATCCAAAGACAGCAATTCACAAAAATGACAATTTTCAAACACTTAAAAAATATAGCTTATGCACCTATTTAGAAATGTACCTCAGACTTTTTACATAAAAGCATGACTAAAATTTTTCAAAAATATTTTTTATCTTGATTTTTCTCCACTAATAGGAAATAAAAATGGTGACAGGAAAAAGTTTATTATATCATAATAGTTTCTTTCTTTTTCCTTTATCTTTTAAATAAAATTAGGAATTTTCAAATCACCTTTTCTTTGTGTATATTCTTATAGAAATAATACCAGAGGAGAAGTTCCTCTAAAATCAGCTATAGTTAAAATGTTATGCCTCTGTGGCCAATTTTAATATATAGTTACCATTTCATAACAGCTCTTTATTGGAATTGGCTGACTAAAAGAATATAATTCTAAACTTCCAATTTTAGTTCATGCAAAGTTCAACAAATTTTTGACAATCCTTTTTCCCTAATAATGTTTCAGCTTTGGAAGTTACAATTAATTAAAAATTATACTTTTCTGTTACATATATATGAATACTGGTGTATATATATATATATATATTCATATATACATACAGTTTCACCCAGTAATTTATGCAATCAAAAAAAACAAAACTCTTATTGGCAACATTTTTGGCTTACATTTTTCAGTATCTTTAATAATTCAAATAACAGGAAAAAAAGCACTTCTACTACTGTACTTACAGAAAAAGAAATGCATAAGAGAAAGTATGCGCCGCAAAATTTCATAACATTTATTTTCTGATTTAGTTTCAAGTTTGCAATTAAATTTAACCAAAAAGAAAAATGTTAGGGAATTAAAGATATCAAAAGGCTTAAATTGAACCAAACAAATTTAAAAGCTCACTAACCCAAAGCATGCACTGCTCCTCTATGCCTGCTGGAGCTCTTGCTTGTTTTAATCACACGGACAGCACTTTCCTGGAACTGCAGCTCACAAAAATTTTCAAGAAATTTTGCCATTTCTTCTGTAACAGTATCCAGGTAAGTTTCTTTAATGAATTTCACTGTTGAGGTTGGAGCTAAAATTTCACGTAGTATGTTAAAATCCTCTTTTATCATTGAGTATAACTTAAGCATTGTACTTTGGTACCCATGAACCATGATGTCTAAATTTGATTCTCTGCTGTAAGAAGGAAAATAGTTCTGCAGAAGTTTAGCCAACAGTTTATTCTGTATGCTTTGGTACTTGATTATAACTTCTGATTCTGGATAAAGAAACAAGAGTTGTTGTATGCACTGATTTTTCAACCAAATCTTGTGCTGTGAATTGCTTATTTCATTATGGCTTTGTAATTTGTTCACTAAGAAGCGTCGAAGATGTAGTCTTATATTATCCCATATAGATTTTACATCCATAGAGGAATAATCTTCGACAGAATGAAGTGAAGTCCTAGAGAGGAAATGGAAAGATGCTCCACTTAGCAGTGATGGGAATGAAATGCTGCTCTGGCAGGAGAGGTCCCAAAGTAAATCCAGTATCATTTCTTCTTGATTTAGTTCACTCTTCAACAAATCTTGCTAATAAAAGTAAATTATAACATTAGAAATGCGATTAACTGTTAAGAGTAATAGGAAAAACGATTTCTACTGTCACACAATTTCACAGTAATTCAGGTCAATTTAGAATCAATACTCGAATGCTCTTGAAGTTTTGTTTTGTTTTTGCATTTGGAATGTAATCAATTCAGATATTTTACAAGGTTGGTTTTATGATCTGTTAAATTTTGTAAACCCAGGTGATGAGCTATATTTTCAGTTAGCTTTCCAAACATAATCTAGTTTTCAGGCCTCATTGTTATCCATTCCCAATAGAACCTGAGCTGCAGCTTAAAAATTCTAAATAAAAACGTGTAGCAAAACATCGATTGAAATGTATTCCTCAGACAAAATAAATTCAAGATCATGCCCCTAAGTAATTCCTGGTAGAAAATTTTCATGCCTGAATGAGTACATCTATTCTTAGCGAACCCCAAATGAACATACAAAACAGAGACCTTTAAATACAGTATGTGCCCGAAGGTTACTAATGTTGTCATCCTGAGAAATAAAATTTAATACATTTAAAGAGGTTAACTTTCATTTAAGTTCCTTTTTGAGAACCATGTTAAGAAGGATTTTACCTTGGAAACTAATCTGAGAATATTTCAGTTCTCTCCAAAAAGATAATAAGTCAATATGAGAAAAAATACTCTCAGAATCATTCCCCAAAAGATGATATGAAATTATTCCTTTATTCTTTCTGTGCTGACAGAAAACAATGGTAGGTATAATTATGAATAGTAAAGGGACAAAAAGTTACTTTCTTTTTGGACTTTATTACATGCACACATTATCCTTACAGGCTGACTTTCCTAATTATGTCTCTTTCAGCTAATACTGAAATTAGTTCATATTCTCTGAGTAGCAACAAGCTGATTGTAAGAAAACTGGAAGCAAAATTCAAGTGGCATAAAATCAGGCTGGCTTTGAAATTTCTTACTGACAGAGATATCAGAGGTATTATCTGTGATTCAGAATTATAAACAACTTGTAGGCAAATTCCAGGAATTTGCTCTCTAGTCATTCTAAGTATTGTCATGTCCAATTTAGTGTTCTATCTGTAATAAATAGTATCCAATACCTATACAGCATTTTATTTTATAAAAAGCACTTTCCTATCAAGTCTCTGGCTTATTCATAATAAAAACTCTGTGACACAGATATTTAAAAACCCAATTTACAGATAAGGACACTAACGTGCAACACATTTAAGCTACCTTCCAAATGTCACGTATAATAAAGCACAAAACCAAGAATGAATCCCTGGCTTCATTCTTCTCATTCATGTTCTTTCTACTAGACTCCAGAGAGCCACAAGGTGCACTGATCTTTCTGAAACTTCTCTCTCTCTCTCTCATCCTCTTCTATTTAGCTCTTTTGATACTTCTAGAAAAGAAATGTCTTTAGATAGAATTCAGAACGCCAGCATTATGGCAATTCTATGAAACAACCAAGTCATGTAAGTGTCTCCATCTTGCGTTTCTTTTAATCAGTCTAAAACGGTAAATATTTGATCAAGCAACATTTAAAGAATAATAGGTTACAAAAGGTTTAAGACACATGTTTGTATGGCTACTTAAATTTAGGAATAATGTCAGTATAACTGCCATAAGGAGGACCTCTGTTTCTTATTTAAGTACTTAGATAATTAATAAATAAAAATTTTTTTATTTAAAAAAAGAGAGCTACGAAAAATGGCTGTCAAGATTGACATTTTTAGCATGTAAAAACTTGATAGTAAGGTCATTTTAATCTGAATCTGTTTCAATATGGTTCTTTCCTCAAAATAACACGATCAATTATGTAAGAAAACCTAGGTCTGAAACAACCCTATCAGTCTAATGAATTTGAGCAAAACTAAAGCGGCCTTTGCCCTGCAGTGAATAGAGAATGACTTATGTGTGACAGATTAAAAGATAATTAAAAGCTTTTGCTTTTAATTAAATGAGAAAGCATTATTACATCAATATTAATGAAATTCAATACACATGGCTCTTAATAGAAATTAAAGGAATAACTATATCCATATTTATTCTTCAGGGCTGCACCTTCACAAGATATTGGGTGAGAGGATTTTCTTAAAAGAATAAGGCTTCAGGGCGCACAGTCTTCCTTTCTCTTCTTTTTATTACTTTGCAAACATTAAAGAGACATCTGCAATAATAATGATAGCCAAGAACTTTCCATCTGACTCTGTCATCCTCAGCCATCTACAACCTCAAGATATTTTCCACATCTGCCTTAGTCAATGTTTGATGTTTAGACAAAAACAGTGCCTTTTTTCCTCCCAAATTAAATTAAAACCATAGCTAGAGACCTACTGCTTTCTAACAATTGTGCTGTTTCTCTGGGAAACTGTTGTTGCAAGCTAGCTACCCCTTGTAGATGCAGGTGTAATAAAGTAAGCATTCTCACTGAAGGCTACAAACACATCCTTCACATAGAGAGTGGGCAGTATCAAAGAATGACCCATGTAATAATTCTCCATCAATTAATAGTGGTCTTGTAGAAATTACTGCCTTGATTGGAAAAAAAAACTGGGTATGCCTGCAGCTTGGGAATGTAGGGAATGGTAGACAAGGCTACTTAAAAGACACAATCAATGGCGATCTTTTTATGCTTAATAATAAGCACAGAGAAAAGGAGTAGTTGTGAAGGACAGAAAACACAATAAATATGAACTTTTCTGGTAGACAATGTGTGTGCTACATATCAATCAACACATTTTGGAATTATAATATTTAATCTCCTTTTCTATAAAACTACATTTTATTGATACAACTCATTGTAAAAGGTAAAGACAACAGCTCACTAGATTCCACTGGGGATATATAAGCAAAACAAAAGCCCAACCCCTAGATATGGCAGGCTAACATGATCACTAAAATAAATATTTACATAGAGAAACTGAATGAATTGTATTCCTGTTCACCCACCCCACTTGGCTAAAAAACAAAGATTATTTTTTTTTACCAGTGTTTTGAAGAATTTTATCAAATCTCCATGGGGAATGGACGTTGACTTGGATGGGTTATAGTTATAGTTATCTAGCCATTCAAGACAGTCAGTTGTTGTTCGCAGCTGCACATCTGGACACTGTTTGTTAACTTCATACTGTATTTCTTTAATGCAATATTCTATGCTATAAAAAAGAAAAGAAAAAATTATTTTGTTAGGAAATAGGTAATGGTTCCATCTCATAACACTACAGGCCCTGAGATGTTTATATGTGCTACCTGGTTGCATACAATTTACAAAATTATGAAACATTTTTATAATATAAAAACAATAACAAAGAGACTACATATTTTCATTCATAACTGAAAACAGAATGCTCAGATTTCCTGGCAGTTTCCTTTCAAATACGATGAAGGAAATATAAAATATCTAGCTACTCTTGAGATGAATTAGAAATCATTCTGTGTTAAAACAAAAATCAAGCATGGATGCAATGAAATAATGGTCCTCTTGACAGGCGGTAGATAGAAGGCAGAGATAAAATACTCTTTAAAAATACTCTTGATGACTGATGATCATAAATATACATTGTCTACTAATAGGTGAATGACTATAAATTATGGAAAACTTCAATCAATGGAACATTAAAATGTCACAAAGCAGTTACAAAAAACTTGCATTTTCAAAAATTGTAAAAGACAGATACATGCTACATATACACTGTTTTGACACCCAAGTATCTTTTCTTGCTATAGAACTCCACTCCAAAAAGCAAAAACAAAAACATACTAAACATTGCATTTAAAAAAAAAAAAAAAAAAGACTGGAAGGAAATGAAACAAAAGCTTAATAGCAATTATCTTTGGGTAATGAAATGTGATGTTTTAAATTTTACTCTTCAATAATTTTCCAAAATTTTAGAAGGTATATTATACTCTTACCAAAAAATAAATAAATAAGAACAGGAGAAACTTGCCCAATTGAATCTTCCAATACATATCTGTTTTAAAAATTATATGCAAAGTACCCTTAGTTCTGATACTAAATGGATATACTATGTTATTTTAATTTTCACATAAAAATCTGTGGATTCATGATTATAAATCTGTGTGGGGTAAACTGATGACTTTAAGCAGTCTGTCATCTGTGGAGCCACATGGATATGACATATTACTACCACCTGATGGCAGCATATCTAAACTGCAAGAAAGCTTATAAACAGGAAAACTCTTTTGAAGCTGAATGCCCTCATCCAAAATTGACAGCTATGCATTTGCTCCTTAATGGTATTAAGAAGTATCTGTTGCTAAAAAGCTTACTACTGTTTTCGAAAATATCATTGCTATTATATATTCCGTATGACAGAATTATTGAAGCTCTGGAAACTAAGTTCTGATTATTAAAACTGATGTCATATGAATGACTCTTCAAAATTCATCAGGTGTGAGTTGCCTATAAAACATACACTAAACTTTAAGGAAGGCTTTTGAAGGAGACTTATGAGCATGAGTGAATTCAAACTGAATTACCTTGAAACAAATACATTCTGAGAATTAAAGAGCCTTTTCATGAAAACAAAGACTTACAAGAAAAATAATACCTCCTTAGGCCACAGGGCATGCAATTTCCTGATGGGACAGTCTTATTCAGGAATACCAGTTCTAAGTCTGACTTGAGATTGGCATATATTTTTTTTAACTTATGTAAGCACATCTATGGACTGAGAAACATGATACCTGAAACATACACCTTGACTCTAGGGACCCTTTATCAAAGGTCTTTATTACAGCATCCTCATGTGGCTCATTCAATGAAACCTAATAGATTACAGCAATGTGAACTGGAAAGGCTCAGTGCTGAGTCTACCTAAATCTGTTTCAATCAGGACTCAGCTTTTAGGCTAATCTCTAACATCTGAATCTGGGTAGAGGCCAATAACTACAACTTATAAATAGGGTAAAGCCTTCAGAGGGCCAGATATTTTTAGTAATTTGTCCAAACACTGAAAAAGGGACTGAGCAGTTGCATTTCAGACAACCTCCCTCACTGTCACAAACTAAGACTGGTGAGCTGGCTTTTAAAATCACAGATTTTTGTCACAAAATTTTAAATGTCAGAACTGATTTTGTTTTTAGTTGGCTACATATCTTGTCACTCTGCCATTCACCACTGTCTATATACCTTGCTCTAAAAGAGCAATAGTTTGAAGTCTAGAGATTTATTGCCCAATTACTATACAAAGGTATTATTTTTAAAATTTAAGATGAGGGGTGCCTGGGTGGCTTGGTCGTTAAGTGTCTGCCTTCGGCTCAAGTCATGATCCCAGGGTCCTGGAATGAGTCCTGCATCCAGCTCCCCGCTCAGCGGGCAGTCTACTTCTCCCTCTAACTGCCGCTCCCCCTGCTTGTGCTGTCTCTCTCTGTCTCCCCAACAAATAAATAAATAAAATCTTAAAAAAAAATTTAAGATGAAAGTCAGTTTGGTATGTAATCTGACAATTTATCTTTCTTAATTGGGGTCAAAATTAAGTTCAAAATTAATTCAACATCTAAAAGGTAACATTATTTTCATATATGTATAGTGGCAATATTGCTGATGGGCATGGTAATCTTGGGTGGGGAGGGGGTCCATGTAACTTTAGAGGTAGATGATACAAGATCCTAGTCTAGGTTTTCTGAAATAAACTAATACTTGTCTTTATTCTGGTTTAAATGTCTTCTGATTAACTGTAAGATGCTTCAAATTTTCCTTAGAAGCAAGGTCATGAAAAAAATAACCAAGATAATTCAACAAATAGAAATCCAAATAACACATTTGTTAGATCCCAAACATTAGGCTAAAAATGTAAACAGTCTAAAAATAGATATAGACTCTCTTCCCTCAATAGTTTCAATTCCCAAATTTACACCATTAGTTAGCTTAGCAAGAAGTTTCTAAAGCATCTTGTTAGCTTTATCCACTCAAAACATCTAACATGTCTATCAACAGGAAAACTATTAGTTAATTCATTGAGTGGAATAGAGCCATGAAAATAAAGGAGAAATACAGTTATCAACATGAAAAAAATCTAACAAATATACCTGTTGAGGGGAAAAGGTACAAATGAATACACACAGTATGATACTATCCCTATAATAGTTTGAAAATATGCAATTCAACAGTACATATTGTTCAGAATTACAAGCATAGGTAGTAAAAATGTAAGGAAATGTACCAGAATGATATCATGAAATCCAGGGTGGAGACGAAAGTAGGATGAGATTGGGGACAGGTACATAATGAGCCTTAGCGGTACTGGTATTGTTTTATTCCTTAAACTGGATGGTGGGTACATGAATGTTTATCATAAAACTCTTTACGCCTTTTCATATGTCTCAACATTTCTTAATAAATTTGAACCCAATGTGCTTAATTATAATGACTCTGAATTATTCAAGCTAACGATGTGTGCAAGTAGATGCACTACTGACAGGCTGTGTGTAAATCAATTTATAAAAACCATTTTTAAAATGCAATATGCGGTATGCTTTTTTTTGAAGGATATCTGTGGTAATTTTCTCATTCAACATTCACTCCTGGGTACCTTGAGTGTAAAAATGACTTATTGAATGAAGGCATGTTTGATAAACATTAACTGAATGCTGAATATGTGGCAGGTACTGTGATATATACTCGGGAACTAAAGGCGGAGACATAGTCCCATCCCTAAAGGAATTCTGTCTAATGAGAGACAGACCTGTAAATAAAAAACTACATTACATTAAGACTTGGTAAGAGGTGTGTACTATGCTAAGGGAATACATAGGAGGGATCTGCTAAGTGATCTGCTAAATGTGCCTGTGGGACATACAGAAAACTTGTAGAAAAGGAGATTATATGCAAGGATATTGATGCTTTAAGAAAATTAATGGAATCACTGTACTTAGAATTCCCTGACACCTGACTTGTGAGAATTTAGTGCTGATCATCTAATCTTACTGCCATGTCACTTTAAAACTATATTTATTTGGATAATAAAAAGTAGGAGTTTATTTTTATGGTCACAAGTATATTGATGCATGTATGTAGATGTGTATGTATATATATATGAGATATGTATATATATACACACATATATATGTATATCTATATATCTTACTTCCTAAAGGACTGAGATGTCCTATAGTTAAACAGACAGCATTAAATACCAACAGCACACGAGTCTATTGTTATCAGGCTGGTGTAGCTGAGGATAGGGAGGGAACTGAGAAAAAGAGAAGAGAATATTTATGACATAAAATCTAGAAACTTCATTGTAAAAGTTCTTTCAAGATTTAAAACATACAGTCTTTATTATTCCACCACAAAACAGTTCAAAGGGAAAAAAAAAGTATGTTCCACTGGGAAAAATTACGAGAACCGTTTGATGTGAAGGTTGTAGAAAACATTTACATATGCTCTCATGGAAAGTTAGAATTTCTATTATTATTTTTAAAATCAGTGTAGAGGTGTCACGGTAGAGATTAAGAACTATTTTTACAGTACAGGAAATCTAAACATTAAGAAAAATTTTAATTTTCTATTTCTGATGCTCTTGTTTATACTGTTTTATCCACAACATAAATTCAGTAAAGGAAAGGCTTTTGCAATCAACTATCACATGTTTAAAAGCACAAAGAAATAGTTGTGAGATAAATAGTTTTCCAGTTTCTAGGTAAGTCCAGCTTATCTAACTAGATTACTAAAATTCCTTGGAATTAACAAATAATTAATAGGGAAGAGGGCTGATGTATAAAAATTAGTGTGTAATTAAAGTATAAGTCAGCCATGAAATAAACTTATTTTCCTGAGACAAACATATTTTTGGATAGTCTTTTTGAAAAGGTTGAGAAAATGATTCATAAAACTATTTTTTTAAGATTTTATTTATTTATTCATAAGAGACAGAGAGAGAGAGAGAGAAGACAGAGAGGCAGAGGGAGAAGCAGGCTCCCCACTGAGCAGGGAGCCCGATGCAGGGCTCGATCCCAGGACCCTGGGATCATGACCTGAGCCGAAGGCAGACACTTAACCATCTGAGCCACCCAGGTGCCCTTATAAAACAACTACTTTAATGGCTAAAAAGCACAGTAAGAAATTCAACATTTATGCTGAACTTTTATTTCAAAGAGTTTTTGGTCTTTAAGTATACTTTCAAGGAAAAAA